TCTCTCTCTCTCTCTCTCTCTCTTGCGCGCGCGCCCGTGTGCTCCCTCCCTCCCTCCCTCCACGCAATCTCCTCTAATGCGTCTGTCAGCCATGTGACGACCTCCATCCCTTCCATTGGCACCTTTATTTATATGACTTTCTGACGATGATGGTCCTTTCATGAGTAGGGGGAGGGATGGATGGATGCCGTTTCGTTTTTTTTTGTTTTTTTTTTTGTCATCTTTGAACGATGCAGCTTGTTGGGTCTTGAATAAGGGTTGAGACGAAGAGGAAGAGGGATGGATGCATGGGTTGACGTGGCATTTTTCAGGCTTGGAATTCAGAAGAGGTAAGTATGATTAAGTTAAAGTATCTCAAACTCTCGGGGGTTGCTGACACTTGCTGTCCCCTTCTGCAATCAGCAGTTGGTACGAAGAACCATCGACTGGCACTACGTTGTTGTTGGTTTTTGTTTTTTTTGTTTTTTTGTTTGTTTATTTGTTTGTTTGTTTGTTTTTGTTTTTAATCCGGACCGTCCGGGCCCGGTTTTGTCCGGTGTCCTAATCCGGACATCTGGATTGGACCAGACACAGGTCCGGTTTTGTGTCTGGACGTGCTGGGCATCCGGGTCCGGGGTAGCCATGTTTTTTTTTCAGGGAAGGAGCGGGCCGTGCCACAACACCCTGTCCCACCCCCTTTTTTTTTTTGACTCCCTATTTTGGGGGTGCGCTGCATTCTGTGCACATGGGTGTGTGTGAGCCGCACGCTGCATGTGCGAGCTACGCACACACAAGGTGTTCTACAAGTATGGCTCCTACACAACCCCATGGCATGTAAACTTTTGTGAAGCCCTGGCAGGGCTTGCTCACACACATTCCCTGCTGTGCTCCAGCTTACCCAGAATGGCTGTAGTTTTGGGCAGGTGTAGACTCGGGGAGCGGCATGGGGCAAAATGCCTCAGCTTCATGGTTGTGTGACAATCAGTCAGTGTGAGCCCAACGTGAGACAATGTGTGACACTTCCTCACAAATTTTGTAACACCATGCATCGGCGGTCAGTACCGAATGAGAGGACACTCGAAAGATCCTCAGCACAAAATCGATCCTGTGACTCAGTCATGTAGGTATGCACTCCCTCAAGCTTTTTTTTTTTTTTTTCCTTTTTTTTTGTGCACTCCTTCAAGCTAACCTTCAAACAAACTAAGGTTTGCATACCAAATAGACCCCCCCCCTCC